CTGTGCCATTCATCGTAAGCTTTGGGTTTAAAAAACTTCAAACAAGACGGGCCAAATAAAAGAAGCGCTCAATGCAAAATATGCGGTATCTGCGCGCGTGCACCTCATGGTGTTCCATGAGGGAGAGAGAGCGCGAGAGGTATGGGTGAACGAGAGAGAGAGAGAGAGAGAGAGAGAGAGAGAGAGAGAGAGAGAGAGAGAGAGAGAGAGAGAGAGAGAGAGAGAGAGAGAGAGAGAGAGAGAGACGTGCGAGAGGTAGTGCGGCGCGAATGCGCTACGGCGCTCTGCAATCAAATACGATTTTAAATAGGCTTAGTAAAAATAAAATAAAAAATTGAAAATCAATGTGTGGCGGTCAGCCAGTGTTGATATTGTGGCGGGCCGCCACAAATATATGAACGTATGAGGAACCATGTATTTCACATCATTTGGTTCCAATAGTGTTTTGCACTTAGCTACACTGTGATGTTTTGCACTATGTCAATTTTAGTGCTGTGAGGTAGGCTATAACATTTTCTATATATGGTCTTATAGCTCCAGCTCCACAGCAACATATTCAGCAACAGCTATAATTCTATAATTCAGCAACAGACATGAGAGTCCTTTTTCTTCAGAACCTCAATTTTTACAGATGCAGATATGAACTTAAAAGTAAAGCATTCTTGGTGTTTTTGTCATGTTGAAATAGCCTGTTTACACTGATTATATACCTAAATCAAAGCTGATACTGTATGCTAATAGATAAAGGAGTCATAATAACATTACATGCTTTGAATTCCTTATATATAGCTATGAAGTGTTCTAAGCCGCCTGGATGGGTCGCTGTACGTGATGCAACACTTAATTATAACCACAAGAGACTTGAGACTTGACTTGGACTCTAGTTCAGAGACTTGAGACTTGACTTGGACTCTAGTTTAGAGACTTGAGACTTGACTTGGACTCTAGTTCAGAGACTCGTGAGCATCTCTGGGCTAAGACTTCCCAGCTTATTTTAGTAAAAGTGTTTTGACAAGCCATGTTTGAGATCAACTTAAAAGCTGAGCTAAGTTCATTGCCTGATATTAAAGTGCCTTTTTTGCCAAATAATACAGTCCCCTTTTCCCATTTAGAAATAGGGTTAATTTCCTAATCCATCTCTTTGTGGCAGATGGTTGACAGTGCCAGAATCTAGAGAACAGGAGCGATTGAGAGAATATGTATAAAAATGGTCCTGAAGACTCCATACGGTTACACTTTATTTTAAGGTGTCATTGTTACAGTGTAATTATTATATATTGAAGTACCGAGTAATATTAATTAACAACATGTACTTACTATAGGGTTAGGGAAGGATTCAAATGGTGAGGGTTAGTTGCATGTAATTATGCATAATTTACTGTTATTACTATGGTAGGTACATGTAACATATGTAACAAGGACACTGTAAAATAAAGTGTTACCCTCCATACATACTCCAAAAATACACTATACAGCAACCACTTTGACATTATAGACAGTAGGTATGTGAACCGGTGTTGATCACGGTTCACTCAAAGAGACTTCAGTGGCCCGTTGCAGAAACTGCTAAGACTAGTCTTACAAGTTAGTCATCACATTTTTCTTTCTTTAAGACTGTTCATAACTTTTTTTTTTAGCATTTGTGAAAATTTGGAAAGTGGTACCAAACAATTCAAGTATTCATACGACTTAAATAATGTCCCATGTTATTATATCAGGATACCAGCTAACTTCAACAATTGAGACATTTGAAACAGTTTTCAGCTCAAAACTCACTTTCACCAGCGAGACACCAGCGAGTGTTTGAAATAATGATCCGATGGGGATTCTCTGATCCCTGTATGAGGCAGAAATATACTTATATGCGTATATACTTTAATACTAACTATTGCCATAATAAATACATATGATTATGGAAAAAAACAGAGACCACTTGAAGAACAAATTAAATGTGATTATAATTGTGTATTTATTTGGGTTCATTTCTCTTCCATGTGCATTTTTGTGTTGATATCAGACTCCAATTAACTAATTGAACTCATATAACTCTTGTTTTCTGCCCATGAGCGCCCTCTGTTGCTCTGGCTAAAAGAATAAGAGTATAGTGAGACGGGAGAGTCCGTTCAAACCTCAGATCGCATAATTTAGTGGAAAATTAATATAAATTCAAATTTTTTGCTCTTGTGAACGCTCGTTGGAGATTGATATTTTGTAAATAAAGAGGTAAATTATGTGCAAACAAAGCGGTCGTGTCATTTCAGAAAATTGAGGTTAAACCACTGGAGTAACATAAATTACTTTAATCATATCTTTACTACATTTCTGGGGCTTAATATTGTTAGTTGCTTAGGCTGTCAGTGGAGGGACAGAAAGCTGTCAAGATTTCATTAAAAAAATCTTCATTTGTGTTCCAAAGATGAACAAAAGTCTTACGGGTCTGAAACGACAGGGCGAGTAATTACTGACAGAATTTTCAAGGTTTTGCAATGTTTTCCGGTGTTATTTATTCTGTCCTTGTGTGGGACAGCAATAAGCAGTGCAACTCATCAACATGAGCCTTTAATTAATACATTTGCACATCAAGAGTGGAGCAGGCTTGCAACTCAAAGAGAACTAAATCTCTATAGATGGGGAGACCCCTTGTTTACTGTGCACAGCTTACGGCTTGAGAAACTAGCAGACTTTAAATATAAATCTTCAAGGGACACTTCACTTTCAAATCTATAAAAGCAACCAATCTTTTCCTATGAAAATATAAACAAACACAGGGGACTTCCACATGAAACTCCACATATGAGTCTACATTGCATGTCTATAAAGGAAACACAAAAACAGCAAACATGCACAGATACACTGTACAGTTCAAACACACTGAACAATCTGGACATTTTCAGAGACATGAGAAGATATATTCTGATGGTTTCTGTGTAAAGAATTTTCTAAACATCACATGGGAACATATTCATATTCAATGTCATTTTTAATTGTCACTGTATGTGATTGATATGTTTATGTCCAAAATGCTTAATTAATATTCAAAGTAGTTGACTATATCATTCTCCTCTACGCTCTACTGTTTAGTGTTAAATTAAATATATAACATTGTTAAATTTAAGGCAAGGACCGCGCATTCATTCATTCAATCAAATATTTAAAAAGACTGGAATAAGAGCATCAGCGCACACAAGCAATCCTTTTTATCAGTCGAATTCATCTCAAAATGTAAACTCAACAAGTGTGAAATATGATCAGTTAGAGACAAACACTGTTACTGAGAAGATGAGCACTGGACTGCTGCAGGTTAGTGGCCAAATATATTTATTTATTATTCAGAATGCACAGTTGGAAAGAAAATATATTTTCAGAAACATTTCAGCAGGTTCAAGATAATTCATGTTAACTCGGCGAACATGATTCATTGTTTTAATCAATTGACAGTCATAAAACGCAGTAATAATCTGCATCCTCATGTATGTATGTGTGCTGAACGCTGTTACAGGAAACTCACGAGTTTTAATAAGTAGAACGTTAGTTGTGCAAGTAGTCCATTGCCTGAGGAGTTACATTAGCAACTCTGACACAATGACAACAGAAGAACACTTGTTTCTTCTTGTTTTGATCTTACAAGGTCCAGAAATTGTTGGTAGATTTTTAAAATTATTTCTTGTTACATATATGAAGAATAGCATTAATTCTTATGACAACTCTCTCAAAGAGGGTTTGAAGAATGATGATTTAGATAAAAGACAATATCATTTATTAAATGACACGGAATTGACAGTACATTGTGTAATTTTGTAAAGCTTTACCTAACAGTAATTCCCATTTCTTGTGTGGGAAAACGTTATTACATCCTTATATTTATCACTACACTGAGTGCCTTAAATTAGAATCAAAAGCAAATTAGTTGGAAATAATTAAAGAGGAATGCCACACCTTATATAAATCACAATAATCTGTTCTGATTTAATCACAAGCATTATACAATGCTTGTGATTAAATCAGAACATAGAACATACAAAAAGGGGGCTCTGGTCTGCCAAAAAAAGCCTCCTGGGATAAATGGATGGATGAGCAGAATGGATTTAAAAAGGAGTTAAAGAGGAACTCATACTTCCTATGCAGTCTTAAAGCAATGTCCATACACAAAAACGTGCATCTCTGAGATGTTTATGACATCCCTCAGCTCAGCAATTCAAGGACTTATCAAGATCAATAAAAGTGTTTGTCTTTGAGCGTTTAGCCTTTAGCATTACAAGCTCTTGTGTTGGTGACAGTAATAAGGGAGCAGTGTGAAGGCCAAAGCTCCTTGAAGAGGCTAATTACTGAGTGATAACAAACACTGACAGATAAGCTTTGACACTGCTGCTCAAAATACACACATCACACAGACACACACACACACACACACACACACAGACACAGACACAGACACAGACAGACACACACACTTTTTTCATTGACTTCTATTGTTTTATACAGAGGTAATGATATTTCCTATCCCCTAACCCTCACAAAAAAAAACATTTTGCACTTTTAGATATTAATGAAAACATTTAGTATGTTTATTAATCTGTTCTAATTGTGCGACACCTAGTAAGCACCTCGCAGTGCAAATAAAACCTCTACGAACACACAAAAGGGCATGCACATGTACACTGCAAATCAATCAAATAAAACAGATATTAAAGTTTGTGACGTCAGAAACACCAGCAATTTCTTTGCACTGCAGTTTTAAGGAAAAAAATCCTCAGCAATGGTGTTGACTTATGAATTTGCCCATGGTTTGTCTTAAAGCATAAGACAAAAACACCACATAGACATATAAACAACATTAAAAGCTTGATTTTCACCACAGGGGGACCTTAAATTTCACCTGTACACCAACATTAAATGCAAAACCTCACTGCAATGTACAGTATAGCCGTATATAATATCAATATATCAGTGTTTGTGAAATTGACGAATTAGATGAAAAAAAAACCTTGTATAATGTTTACCTTGCTGTGCTGAACTGTTCGATGGTTGTTGTATGAATCCTGAAGACCATCATCTACAACCAAGCCTAAGACGTCTGCCACACAGGACACATCTGAGGAGAAAGAAACCATTAGTCACACTTCTTTTAAAACACTTCTTTTAAAAACACTTCTTTTCCATTAAAAACACTTCTTTTCACCCTTTTTGGTCTCTGTGTAGCCCTTCAAATCCAGAGCTTTTTGTGAAATCACATACACAAGTGAAGATGCCATGCCACTGCATCATGATTGTAGAGATTATTTTTTAGTAAGTCATTTGCCACATTCAATTCACCAGTTTCAAAAGTTTGAATTGGCAGAGAGTAACTTTGAGATGTAAAATACAATGGGAAAAAAATGCTTGATGCTTAAACAAAAAGCAGAACCTGGGCCCAAACTTGAAACTCTCTCTCTCTCAAACCAATTATATGGGATCTCTATAAAATCCCCTTTGCTAGTGTCAAGTGTCACAAATTTAGGTGAAATCAAGCAGAGCAGATTCTTTCAGTAGTAACTGCACACTGTGCACAGTTAACTGATATATTTCACTAATGGCTTCAACATATCTGCTACGACAGCGCCTCCACAGGCAAACAGAGGCTCCTGCAACAGTGCTGGCAGCAGTGATACACTTCAAAATACAGGGGCGATTCCTGCGAGGAGGCAAGGGCACAAAATTGGATGAAATAATCCATAATACAAAAATAAAACAATGCAAATATGACAAATTATGACATGATAAATTAAGTAACTGTCCAACAGCAAAGTCCTCGTCTCTCTTGGAAAGACTAATTAAAAAGTAAATAAACAACTCACTTTTAAATAATCACAACTCACTGATTATTAGGCTGCATAAATTAGGTCAGCCGGAACCGGGAACACTTCCTATAACACCCGATGTTCTCGTTAAATCATAAGAAGAATGGCATCTACGCTAATGTTAGTCTTTCTGCTTATTCTGAGGTTTAGTGAAGTCAGCCGGATCCGGCCCGTATCCAGATCAGATGGAGGACCTGCGCTTAGACACGACCACAACGCATCCCTGAAGAGTCAGCAGAGATTGTGTCAACTAGACTCTCCCCTGTGAAGGCCTCATCGACACGACAGCATCGGCACTGATCCTCAACAAACCCGTCTCCATACCGGTGTGACTCTGATCTTAAATAATATTCTGATTGTTCAAATCCAATCTGACTTCTGACCTGTAATGCTGCCTGAATCATAATCATACACTGTTCGTTCATTGGCCAGAGGAGAACTGGCCCCCGACTGAGCCTGGGTTCTCCCAAGGTTTTTTCTCCATTCTGTCACTGATATAGCCTAGTTTTGGTTCCTTTGCCACTGTCGCCTTTTTCGCCTTTGTTGCCATTGGCTTTTGGCTTGTTTAGTTGGGGACATTAAATTTAACATTTCATTTAATATTCAACAATAATATTGGTCTGCCTGCATTGACACCATTATATGAGAACTGAACTGAGCTGGACGATGACATCATGGTTTTCTCCGGAGCGGCTATATATATAAATTAACTAAATTAATAACTTTTTTACAACAAAAATTAAACATCATTGAAATTACTTACTGTGACCCTATTTTCTTCTGGAAACAAACTTTGTTGCATTATTTTCCTGTTATCTCTGTAAAGCTGCTTTGAAACAATCTGTATTGTAAAAAGCGCTATATAAATAAATGTGACTTGACTCACTTAGATATCACCACTTTGTCACGTCAAAATAAAACTTGAAATGGCCAGAAAACATGATCTATGGTGGGTTTTTAAGTGAACAGTCAGCTTGGTGAAATTAAAAGTACATTTCGGTGTCTGTGACCAGTGTTTACCGAGCTTGACGACAGATGATCCAAAAATAGGTTGACTATTTAAAAAACAGCTGAAAATCAGTTCACAAATAAAATATATTGTTTAAATTGTTACTGAGTTATTATTTTGGAATAAAATGTAAAAATGCTTAAAAACCCTAACTTAAAGGAGTAGTTCACTTTAAAAAAAACTTTTGCTGATAATTTACTCACCCCCATGCCATCCAAGATGTCCATGTCTTTCTTTCTTCAGTCGAAAAGAAATTAAGGTTTTTAATGAAAACATTCCAGGATTTTTCTCCATATAATGCACTTTACTCTTTTACACTTTACGATCGGTCATTTAAAAAATAAATAACAAAGTTTAAGTTTTATAAGCTCAAATGCCCGCCTTTCTCTGTTCTGTGATGCACGTTCGTGACTCTCCTGTTCGAACTCGTTCATCAAAATGAACAAATCTTTTTTCGAGTCATTTGATTCATTTAACGACCGAAATGAACGAATTGACTCGGAAAAAGATTTGTTCATTTTGATGAACGAGTTCGAACAGGAGAGTCACACAGAACAGAGCGAGGCGAGCATGTGAGCTTATAAAACTTAAACGTTGTTTTTTTTTTTTTAAATGAGCGATCGTTTCGCTTGATAAGACCCTTATTCATCGTCTGGTGTCGTTTAAAGCCATTTGAACAGTTTGCAGTTTGCACTGAAACTGTCATTTGGACCTTGAACCGTTTGGTGCCCAGCAAAGTGCATTATATGGAGAAAAATCCTGGAATGTTTTCATCAAAAACCTTAATTTCTTTTCGACTGAAGAAAGAAAGACATGGACATCTTGGATGACATGGGGGTGAGTAAATTATCAGCAAAAGTTTTTTTAAAAGTGAACTAATCCTTTAAGGATATTCATACTTGGTTTTGTTAAATAAAATATATTGTTAATATAAAAATAGTTTAAAAAAATAGATTTGCATTTGGTTTCTTCTTTTTTTTTATAGTGCAAGTAATGTTTATTTAACCAGGAAAATGTGACAACATCAAGTGTAACTGAGACATGAATTTACATCTGACTAAAAAAAAACCCCACTTGCCTCCTCATTACAGAACACCACTGCCAAAATAATATATTATAAATCCTCTGCATTACACTAAAGTTATAAAGTTAGATTATAAAAGTGATTGATGTTTCTGTTAATTAATATAGTAAAGTTAAAAATAAAAAATAGCAGTAAAAGCCACATTTTATTATGTGTAAAAAAAGTAATGTTTCTTTTCTATTTGTATACATTTACAAATATATATTTTATGTGTGATGGCAAAGCTTCACTTTCAGCAGCTATTAGCCAACTCATTTACTATAAAAAAGCACTGTTACATAATCATTAAAAAAAAAATCTAAAAGGCACAAACAACCAGAGATGTTTCTTTTCTTTAACACAGCTGAAATGGTTGTGCTGCTTAAAGACATGCAAGTCACAGCTTACCGGAAGTATTAAGCACACTTGAAATTCTTGCAAGTTACATTTGGTACATTTGGTTGGTTTAACACTGCATTGGCTCCCTATTAAACATATCCATTTTTAAATTATTGCTGATTACTTACAAAGCACTAAATGGTTTAGCTCCCCAGTACTTGAGCGAGCTCTTAACGCATTATAGTCCTTCACGTCTATTGTGATCTCAAAACTCTGGCCAGTTGATAATACCTAGAATATCTAAATCGACAGCTGGCGGTAGATCCATTTCCTATTTAGCACCAAAACTCTGGGAACAGTCTTCAAACAAACTGGTTCTAACCAGGACAGAGCGAGAAGTGGAGAGTCCAGATGCACAACACGAGAACAAGTACATCACAGTCTCTAGTTTGAAAAACAGACCCCACAATAGCGTTCACCTCAGGGACGATTCAATTATCGTCCCTCAAGAACAACTACACCGCTTTGCAACGATAGGACAGGAAGAGCTAAATAAACTTATTATTGCATCTAAACCAACAACATGCTCATTAGATCCAATACCCACTAAACTACTGAAAGAAGTGTTAGCTGTAGTGGAAGAGCCTCTTCTTAATATTATTAACTCGTCTTTATTCTTAGGTCATGTTCCAAGAATATTCAAGTTGGCAGTAATAAAACCTCTCATTAAGAAACCGCAACTAGATCCAAATAACCTAGCAAATTACAGACCCATTTCAAATCTTCCATTTATGTCCAAAATACTAGAAAAAGTTGTATCCGCTCAACTGTGCTCTTTTTTGCAAGAAAATGATATCTATGAAAAATTCCAGTCAGGATTCAGACCGCATCATAGTACAGAAACTGCGCTAGTTAAAATTACAAATGATCTACTCTTAGCTTCTGACCAAGGCTGTATCTCAATACTAGTCCTACTTGATCTTAGCGCCGCGTTCGACACTATAGATCATAAAATACTCTTGGATCGACTACAAAACTACACTGGTGTTCAGGGACAGGCATTAAGCTGGTTTAGATCGTACTTATCTGACCGTTATCATTTTGTCTCTTTACACGGGGGAAAATCAAAGTTAACGTCAGTAGACTACGGAGTACCGCAAGGATCGGTGCTAGGCCCTCTGCTATTCTCAATATATATGCTGCCACTTGGTAATATTATAAGAAAACATGGAATTAATTTCCACTGTTATGCTGACGACACTCAATTATATATTTCATCACGACCAGATGAAAACATTACCTCATCTAAATTGACAGAATGTCTCAAAGATATAAAATGCTGGATGACGCGTAATTTCCTGCTATTAAATTCAGATAAAACGGAGGTATTACTTATTGGTCCAAAAAACTACACACAAAACCTCTTACAATACGACTTTAATATAGAAGGATGCCCTGTTACTTTTTCCACTACAGTAAAAGACCTGGGTGTTATACTAGACCGCAACTTGTCTTTCGAAAATCATATTTCATCTGTTACAAGAACAGCCTTTTTCCACCTTAGAAACATTGCTAAATTACGTAACATGCTATCTGTTTCTGATGCAGAAAAGTTAGTTCATGCATTCATGACCTCGAGACTAGATTACTGTAATGCTTTATTAGCTGGTTGTCCTGCATCCTCAATAAACAAGCTACAGTTAGTGCAAAATGCAGCCGCTAGAGTTCTTACTAGATCAAGAAAATATGATCATATAACACCGATTTTATCATCTCTGCACTGGTTACCTATTAAGTTCCGTATCAATTACAAAGTACTACTACTGACCTATAAAGCCCTTAATGGTTTAGCTCCTATGTACTTAACGGACCTTCTTTCGCCCTACAATCCACCGCGTTCTCTAAGATCACTAAATTCAAGGCTTCTGGTCATTCCTAGGATATCGAAGTCCACGAAAGGAGGCAGGGCATTCTCGCATTTAGCTCCAAAACTCTGGAATAGCCTTCCCGATACGGTCCGATGCTCTGACTCGCTGACACAGTTTAAAACTAGACTAAAGACGTGTCTCTTTAGTCAAGCATTCACATAATGCTTACCTTTTAGTCCTCTGCTATGCCATACGGAACCGTTTGCCACTGAAACTGCTTAACGCACCAGTGGGGCTCGACAGCCTTATAGACAAACGGGTCGGTCCGTATGGTTGCGGTTGGGTTGCGGAGAGTTTGGGTTACGGAGAGTTGTGAGATTATGGTTTTCTAACACCTACTCCCGTGTAATGGAAATCATTATGAACATCAGCTATGCTAATTATTTCCCATCTGCCTTTCTGCTGTTATCTCGGGACGCTTGTCCCGAGAAAAATGGCGTTCGTAGGCTCCAGTTTGGTATCCTGCCTCTCACGGGGATTTCGGATGCCTCAACGCCTGTGATGAGAAGACCAACGCCTGTGAAGAGACGACTCAACGCCTGCGAAGAGGCGACTCAACGCCGGCGATATGTTATCCCCTAAATATTACATGATTAACTAAATGTATTTTTTCCAGGTACTCTCTGATATGGACTTACTGTAAAGCTTCTTTAAAACCCTATGATTGTTAGCCAGAGGAGAACTGGCCCCTGACTAGCCTGGGTTCTCCCAAGGTTTTTTTCTCCATCCAATCTGATGGAGTTTTGGTTCCTTGCCACTGTCGCCTTGCTTTTGGCTTGCTTAGTTGGGGATATTTAATATTCAACAATATTATTGAACTGTGTTGTACTACTTTAATGTTATCACTGTGAAGCTGCTTTGATGCAATCTGTATTGTGAAAAGCGCTATATAAATAAATGTGACTTGACTTGACTTGACCTCATCGTACATGCTAAATACCAGTTTCATCTGCAACAGTGAAGAGAGAGTCACAATCTGACACTGGCAGACAAGTTGAGGAAACAGTTCTGTGATAAATTTCCTACAAGCCAATAACTGCAAATGGGAAATGCTGTAAACTGGCTAGAATGTATAAGGTCTTCACAGCTGTCATTGCTGTAAGTGGATGAACTGCAGTGTATACTTCATATTTTAAATTATTAAACATTTTATCAAAAAAAAAAAAAAAAAAAACGTGATTATCTCAATTAAAAAATTAAAAATGTGAAAAAGATTGCGGAAGCCTTTTCTAAGATGAAATTAATAGATCAAAATATTTGTATTCCAACACTTGATTATTTTAGTCCTAAATGTGGAGACTAATCTTTAACAAACTTTAGTCTCTGCTTTTAACAGTGTCATTTATGTCATTCCTTTCAGCTTCCTGATGCTTCAAATTCTTAATGGTAATGCAAGTTGTTGTTTTACCACGGTTGCACCGCTATGTTGCTAAATGAGGTTTGAAGGGTGGTTTCAATGACACTGCACCACTACACAGGAAAACCACAGTGTGTACTCATTCTTCCTTATCATTATAGAAAATATAGAGGTCATGTATGCTGCTACAGTATATCTAATGAATCTAATGAAGGCCCTGATAATAAGAAAGTGTCAGTTATTACCCATACTACAACGAAGATTCACTCAAGCATAGGCAGTGTGTCTGTGTGGCATGAGCTAAAGTGCATAAGGTGAACTGAGTTTTAGTTTAAGCCACTGGGATGAATTTCACATGTTAAATATCTACACTAAACTAAAATACAATAAACTGCACCATTGTTCTTGACAAGTGTGTTGACATACCTCTTTATCCTAAACACAGACAACTTATCCGACTAGTCTAGCGGACTAGTTTAATGGTATGCACACTGTCCCAATTGCCCCTCTCTTTTTTCTTAAAGGAGAGAAAAGAGAGTTCAACCCAAAAATTCTGTCATCAAATAATTCACCCTCTTGTCGTTCCAAACCCGTAAGACTTTCGCTCATTTTCGGAACACAAATGAAGATCTTTTGAGATCTTTCTGTCCCTCCATTGACAGTCTACGCAACTACCACTTTGCTGCTTCAAAAAGTTCATAAAGAGATTGTAAAACTAATTCATTTGAATTGACTGGTTTAGTACAACATTTTCTGAAGAGACACGATCGCTTTATATGATGAACAGATTTAATTTAGAGGGGGGTAGGCCTACTATGATATTAGACTACACAGCCTATAATAAAAGATAATGAATTTCAAACCTGAACCAAACATATTTTTATTCAAAGATCAACAGTCTGTCATTAGTCTTTAGTCTGCCACAAAAAAACAACATTAAAATCATGAACTCACATGTCATTGTGAAAAAAAACAAAACAATGACTGTTGTAATAGTGCGTAAATCAGACCTTTCAGGCTATAGCCATTCATATTTTGAATGAAAATTTGCTTATCAATGCATATCTAAATTCGCGCTTACGGTATCTTTGTAGAACTTAAAAAAAGAAACAAAAAAGATGCGGCAGCCAATGAGCAGCCGGCGGGGGCTGCAGGACGACTCAACCTCCACGGACAGTCTTTAAAGAAACCGTATGTAAGATTGTGGCCAAAACTGGTACTGTAATCACTTTCAAATTACTGTAGAGCGGTGTATCCCCTCCCACCTGATTTGAGGTTGCTGCAGGATCCAGCAAATTCTTCTCCGTTTTCAGCCGTCTCCATCTTTCAAAGGCATCTCCTATACAAATCCTTGTTTTATTTCGGACTTTGTCACGAAGTATTTCGGAATCATAACAAGGTTTTTTTGGATTCGTAACGTTAGACATTTTTTTTATCCGACACGTTTGTAGCTGCAGCTGTGGTAACTACAGCAGAGCTGGCAACCCGGATGCCGCAACACTACTGACTTCGTGATTGGTAGATAGGTGGAGGGTGGCGCATCAGACCAAAACACAACATGACAACATCAACATCAGTTGAGGGCTGCGACTTCACTTTTTAAATGACAATATCCTGGCCGGACTACTGTTGTCAGTGATATAAGTATTTGAAATGAACATGATTTCTTAATGTCTAGTGACATATCAGGCCCATTTTATGATTAATTGAAATACATTTCTTACATACGGTTCCTTTAATGTTTTATCAGACAAGAACTATTCAAGATTTTGCTTTAGTATAATTTTCGGGACAATTTGGGATTCGGGATTCGGGACAACAGCTTAGATTTCGGGACTGTCCCGAATTTTTCGGGACGTCTGGTCACCCTATTTGTGTTCCAAAGATGAACGAAAGTCTTGCGGGTTTGGAACGATATGAGGATGTGTAATTTCATTTTTGACCCTTTAACCCTTTAATTTTCTTGTTATGTGAAAATAAACCAAACACCTGCACACTCTTTCATGTGGCCATGTTGGCAAAAATAATCCCACCTGTTGCTATGTATGTGAGATAGTATTCCAGGATATCTTTACTCAACGCTCTTGTAACTGGCCTACCTAATCTATGATCAGAAACAACCTTCCATTTCAATTGGCATCACCAATCCTTAATAATTTTTAACACCTTCCCTTTCATTCCGACTTCAATCCAAACAATTTCCAATGTCACGCTACGCCAATACCTAGTTAGCGGAGTCTGAATTTCATTAATACACAGGTGACAAAACAAAGCAAGAATAGTACACATATTCCCTTGTGTACAAAAGTGGTTGATGCAAGGAAGACTGCGTTTAAAAACATGGTTTCTGGAAACAGAGTAAATGTGTCCTCTTGGGCCCCGAACTCACTAAGGTTGAGCCTCAAGCATAGATGGCACAAAATCTCAAATTTAATGAATGGCTCTTCCTGATTTTGTAATTTCATCTGAATATTAACATTTGTGAGATTTAGTCGGACTGTTTTCAAAGTGAATTGATCTAATTTTGTGTCTCTGGAAAATAATCTGTGACAAAGAATTAGGCTGAATATCAAAGATTTGTGTGTTTATAAGAGGTTTGTGGACATATTAATGCTTTTAGATCTAAATTTAGACCATTGGGGTAAGATGGTCCACCAGAATTGGCACAGAAGAACACGAGTGACGTCTAGATTTTTACATGTGACAAGTGTCATTATTTTTTTATCTTAAAACGTGTATAATTGATGGGATTGTTCTATAATTCCATGTGTAGACATTTTTGCTATTCATTAAACCCATTGTTAAACTATTATTAGACCTATTGAGTGAAATAATTCAGTTTGAATTCATGTTGCTAATATGATATATCTTCAAATAAAATATGGGTAATTAGATATGTATATATGCATTTGCCTGTATATAAGACAAAGAGCAAATTTCACTTTCATCTCACCCTACCACTGATCTAATAGCTTAAGAGCTGCCATGAAATGCTAAGAGACTAATGCAAAGGCCATCATTTTAAGCTTTGCAAAGTTTGTAAAAAAAAAAGAAAAAAAAGATACAAACAAATCACATAATCACAAAAACACAATTAAATCTCACTGAATTGTCTTGTAATGTTACACAGTTCATTTATCCATCTCGTGTTTCCAAGTAAAACCTTAGCATGTTTTTGGTTTTGTTTCATGTTCTTGTAAAATATCTGTTAGTGATCCCCTATTCTAGTCATGTGATTCTGCAATGTGTTCTGTGTTATCATGGGTTCATTGTTCACAGGTGTCCCTTGTCTAGTCATTAGTCTTGTGTATTTAAGCCATCATGTTTGCCATGTGTCTTGGTCAAGTAATGTTTCACCGTAACCACTGTTGGTAAGCGTTCTGTTCATGTCCATGTTTTGAGTTCATGCCACGTCATGCCTTTGTTTTATAAATCACGTTTTGTAAATAAACTGCACTTGGGTTCTCTACAAACTTGCCACAGTGGACATCCTTACAGTATAATTACAAATATAGACAAGTACTAGCTCTGCTACTTAATTAACCCGTACTAAATTGGACGTGAATCAATAATAAGAACTGAAATATACGGTATATTTCTATATATTTATCCATACTGCAATGCAGAAATCTATTTTCTTGGACCCACTTTTTATTAGATGTCTTTAAATACTATGTACTTATATTTGTAAAATATATCATGTCGTTACATTGTAGTTACAATTAAATTACCTGCATTTAATTACAATATGTATTTACACTGTTGACCATATCCCAACCCTAAACCACCTCTAGCTCTAACCCTACCCATATCCTCATCAGCAGCAAATGGCAATCTGACAATACTTTAGCAGAACAACATGTATGTAAAAAATAAGTAAATAAATCAATCAAATGTTTTTTTTTTTTTTTTAAGTAATTGCTTAGTAGTTATAGACATCTAATATAACGCGGCACACAAACCTTCAACAGTTATTATGGGGTAAAAAAGCTTGGCTTGTGAAACACTGGTGTAACCAGCCAGTGCTCTGTACATGAAAACCGTGTTGCTCACTGCTTACAAAAGATGCTGCGTAATTAGACAAAAGAAGCAAACCAACAATAAATCACCCTTTTCAATGTCACTGCAGAATGATTACTTTAAACCTTAGTTGTGATTATAGTGGTTGACAGAAAATTTGTATAAGTTATGACTTTAATTTTATAACATCACATTTAACCCAACATCATAAATAAATACAGAAACACACGTGTTGTGATGTTCATTCAATCAAAACACCTACCAGGCAGGCCCAAAAGCAGCCAGGTTCAAATCCAGCCCGCAACACTGCTCCTCCTTACAGCATTTACACTGCTTTTTGTTTATCAGTTTTTATAAATGACTGAGTTGGTACAGACAACAGTCTAGTTTGAGGAAGTCAGTGGGAAGGAAGTTTACGGGTGAGGTGTGACAAGTGTTAAATGTCTACAACAGTGAGTTTGAATGCATAACAAGTAAAGAGAAAGTTGTTGTATATGTATTTACATTACAGGTCCTTCTCAAAAAAATTGCATATTGTGAT